ATGTTTTTGATGGCTATGATTGGACTTACGCCACTTTCAAAATCAATGAAATGACGTTTTCAATTCCTTAAGAAAGCACAAGTCCATAAGAAAAGTAAATTTCCCTTGAAATAAAAATAAATGTATACACTTTTATGTTATAAAATCAAAAAAAAATATTCAACTTTTATTCTTTGTCAAATAATTTTTACATTAAAATTAATATTGTTTTATTAATTATTATTCAGTCTTCTCCAGTTTGTGTATGCGGGAGGGATTTAAAATAACTATGGTGTGCAGGTGGTATATAATGTAATAAATCCATTAAGTCCTTGTATTTTAGATTTGTGAGTGGTCCCGTTTTTTTGTATAGTGGTGCCAACTTGATATTATTACTTGATATTCAATGTTTTGAATGATGCATCCTCGTTTGTTGTCGTTTTGTAGAATAACTTATATGAATCGCTTCTTAAAAATCTTATCCAACATATTTTAAATCAATTTACTCTTTCGCCGTCAGTATTTTTTAACCTTTTAAAAGTCGCGTGTTCTAGAGGCTTAGTTGAAATGAACTCCTCACGTTTCATTTCATTTAGAATGAACTTATTCTTTATGACTTTGTAAAATTCCTGAGCGACAAACAATAAATTGTTTTTTCTTAACGCCATTTCTACAACTCCGAAATCTCTATCATTAGGTAGAAATGAATGCCCTGATAGCAAGAACTTATGGTCAATGATATCTACATTATTTTCTGTAGATTTTTGACCATGATTTTTAAGTAATCCGAATTTAAGTATTAATTAACTGTAGAAACAAGTAAAAATACTCAGCAAGTGAAACAACACTGTGGACAGGCGTTGTTCTGTGTTTATAACAAATTCATTGCACGTTGATAATTCAACTGCTACTTTGATAACATTATGCAACAAAATAAAAAAGCTGGGATCTCGTAAAATTTTATTGCATAATATTTTCCATATCCATTTGAAACTCTCACAATGGGACTTGCGCCACTTTCAAAATAAACTTTTTCATCATTTCATTAACCAGCAAACTTTCGTGTTACAAAATCTTAATGATTTTAAATATATTAGTAACAAGTTGCTTCAGGATGAAAAGATCGTGTAAAAATGAAACTATTAAGGTAGCTAACTCGATTCTTTTGGAAAATGGACTTACGCCACTTTCCAAAATAAACGTGTTTGAACATATCTGGTTCAATTTTTAGTTACTGATACTTTTGCTACGATTGAAGAAAACCACTTGAACACTTGCTACAGAAAACTTTGTTACTTCATACCTTGGAATTTCATTAACATTGTATTTAAACAGACGACTGTTTATTATATGATATTATTGAGGGATTATAATATTCAGTGGATCGAAATTCCGCAAGCAGATTTTAGAACCAGATATTCGACAACAGACTCATGAAACTTCTTTTATAGAAGAATTTATGACTTGTCAATTTACTGGTATCACCAGTTGATGAATTATTCTGTAAAAAAAAGGTCTCGACTTCTATCATTCAAGCTGTAATTTAATAGAAGGAACTTTTTTAGCATCGGACGTTTGAATTGTATTCTCGCTAGTTTAGTTCGATTATCCGTCTTTTTCTTTTCGTCCCTCTGCGAACACTATCTCGTGAAACGAGCGAAATTACAGATGGTATAAAGCACAGGATATACGTTTCTCGTAAATCGTGTCTGCGGCGTTGTTGGATGCGTTGTTCTGCGAAAAGACAGCTGCCGTCATCGCTGCGCGGTATAAATAAGCTCTTTGATTATTTCTCGTGCATGTATCAGCGATGTAATGGAGCAAAAAGCAAACGCAGATATCTATATGCAAAAGCAACTCGAGCAATTCGCGTTTAAATGCGAATAGAGTGGGCAGAGAAATGCAAGTTCTTTTAATCTTGGTGTTGTTCAACGTTCTCCTGAACGCTGAATTATTCTTCTTATCGGTCTTATTTCTTGGGGATATCATTATATATCACGCGAATAGAATCCGTTACCTGTTATATTTGGAAAATAATTTAAAATTTTAATTTCCAATTAAATTCCTATCTGATCTGTGAGAGACACCTTTTCCGCCGGATTGTTTCTCAAAGTGAAAAGAATAACAAATTTTTTGTTCAATTAACTTGCGAAAGTACAATGTTGCGATACACATAGGGCGAAAACGCGGAAAAGGACGAATTTATTCCGATAAAATGTTTCGCGAGAACTTGAATTCAATTAAATTGTTCTCGCTGTTAATTTAAGAATGCCAGTTAATTTCGAAACCTCCGGCGCGGGACAGTTTCTAAATTAAAACAGTTTGAATTAAAACATTCGCGAGGATCGTTATGGATACAGCCAGTACAACAACGATGGCTACAACATTTATTCTATTCGCCCTTGTCAGAGAGCGAGCCGCATTTCGGTCATAATGAACAGGCGGCACATTTATCGTAAATAATAGTGATCTCGAATCGTTCTCGGTATTAAAGCATCGCTCGAATAATTCCTCAATTAAATCGTACAATCAAACGTCGTTCGTAGGCACGAAACGGCATTTTCTACTAAACCGATGCGAACGTTTTCCGTTGCTACGAGTAGACTTTAATATTTCACCGTTCGGCGAAACGATTTTGATGTTGATTCGCTTTTCAAGCGCGAGGGAGCTTCTTGCGAAACGTTTTAAAAACATTGTCAGATCCGGGCGTGCACGATGTGAGCATAAAACCGATGCACCAACGTGTAACATTAAGGGATCAACGTCAATCTACGTCGTCGGATAAGAGATGCGCCCTCAAACTTCGTTGTTTTCAAACAGAGTCGAGAGTTTTACACTTCGGATTCGAGGGTCGGCGTTCTTTCTTTCTTTCCTTTTTTCTTTTATCATTCGTCAAGTTAATTGCAACGCGTTTCGTTCGAGTACTTTCCATTGAAAGTAGTGGCGTCATGAAAGTTGAAAAGATGAAACACATTCCGCCTTCGTTTGTTTGAGAATTTCGTTGGTAGAGTCAACGTATACATCGTATAAATTCTGGATGGCCAATGCTAAATTCGACTCCTAGTTCTACGCGTTGCATTCTTGTCTGGAACATTACGTCTGCAATTTGTATAATGATTTGTATTTATTTTTTATTCACCGTTACGCTCGAACTCGTCGATTCGTGCAAGATAATGCTGCATTTACATTCTCGTTCCAAATCTTTTGACTCGCGCGATCAGCACGTTGTCACTCGTGCCAAAAACTTGGAAATGACTTTAATTAACGAGAAGTGGATAATTAATTGGTGGACTATGAGATTTATTAATCGTATATAATTACGGTTAATGTAGAGTTAATTTTAGCTTCGTTTACCAAGTAGAATATTTTCGAGGATATCGTGCTTTGAATTCGACACAATTCTCTTAGCGAGTTCTCAGAACTCAGTACGAATGGATAGGAACAGCCTTCGCCTGCCAAAAGTCAGAATACATCTGATGCGATCGTTTAACAATTTCGTCTTTACTACGATGTTGTTCATAACTTGATTAATTTATGTATCTGTTGACCCCGATACGTACTTACGACACGTTCAGCAAACATAAAATAGTAAAAATAGTCATTCGTGCCTGAAATCAGTCATATCGTTGATTCTTTAGATCACGAAGCGCTTTTTTTTTCTGTTCGAAATCTTTTCTTTTAATGCTCTTTTAATTACTTTTTATTTATAGTTTTAATTTTTTCTATGCATTCGTATCTTTTTAGAGATGAAATATCTCTGAAAAAGTGGCAAGATTAGGATACGAATATGTGTTTATTAGGATTTGCGTTGCTTTAACCATCAAAGCTAACGCCGTAGGCCACTTCGTTTCTTTCTTTTTTCAATACGTTCCTTGCTACTTCCTTTTTACGTGTATTATTTACGTTCGAATTACTATTATATAGGTATATAGATTACTATACGATATTACAATTCGGACGACATAAATTTTCTTCCTTTCATATTTCACTCCTAATTTACAAAATCTTATTACTCCTGTAAAATTGCATTCCTATTGATAATCCCAATTATTCTATGTCCCAGAGACCATCTCCAACGATTCTGTCGAGTTTAAATTCCCATTTTTACTTGATTTATCAATTTCTACCTTGAACAGCTTATTTCCCTTTTAATTAAAATAGCCGTGAAATTGTTCATTGATCCTCGTCCACACCTCGCGCATTCGAAACGCAGACGCGAAAAGCGACTAGCGAAAAAAAAAAAGAAAAGAAAAAAGAACGAGAAAAGCAAGAAAAAGGACAGGAGAGAACCGGAGAAGGTGGAATAGAAACGAAAAGCAAGAGAGAGAGAGAGAGAGAGAGAAAAGAAAAAAAGAAGAGGCAGCCGGTGGAAGCACGTGGTCTTTCAGAGATCAGAGAGCGAGATCCAACAGCGTTAAAAGGGCTCTCGAGGCTCTTTTTCGAAAGAGGGAATGGAGGCTCGTTTCGGGTTATTCGTGGCGGGCGCCGCGAAAACAACACGCACGTCGCTCGAAGGTGGCGCGCACGCGTGTGCAAGCATGCAGCCGGCCGCAGCGAAGATTTGGAGCGGCGCCAACGCCTCTCTGACGCTGCATCTGCATTTCGCAGATGTGAAAATAGCACCGGGACCGCTAATTCGTATCTGCATATTCGAGGCTTCTCTCCTCGCTCGCTACGCTTGGCATTTCCCTAATTTCCAAATGGAATGACGTAACACCCAGAATACCGACCATCGAGAATTCGATTTTTTTTTCTCTCCTTGCTTTTTTTTCCTTTTTTCTTCTTCCTTCATCCCCCCCTCTCTCTCCCCTACTATTTTCCCCTCGCCTTCCTCTGTGTTTTTTTTCCCCTTCGTTTCTCTCTCTCGTGTTCCATTTCTCCTTTCCGTATGGTAATTTTTACGATATCGAGTGTACGTGTCCCCGGATTCGGTACTGTCCGGCGCGGTATAACGGATTACAGGTAACTTTATTGCACGCTCGTCCGACTTGGTTCCGCCGTGAGGGCCGTTCCGCGTGTTTAATTGAAGCTACGATACGTGAATCGGGTTCTATCGCGGGTTCACAATGCGCGTCTAAATTAGACGCTCGCGGGCTATGCGCACGATTTGAATTATAATACCCAGATCGGTGAAAGGATGGGCTCCCGGAGAGCTTTCCAATCCCTGAACTCTCCGACAGGGATTCACCGACCGCGCGTGCCTCAGTCCTTTTTTCTTCCTTTTTCTCCTCTTACCTCCTTCCACACACTCTTTGTGTCACGTTGTTACTTTCTTTCCGCTAATTTCTCTCTCTCTCTCTTTTTCTCTTTTTCTCCGCTTCGTAGCAAATCGATCGAACGCGAATATTTTTTTTTTTTTTGCCTCGAGCTCTCTTTGTTAATGATTACGCAGCGTGTTGATAGAATCGGACGATGCTCGTTCGTGTGAACAACTCATTTGACACGGTGTATCACGGGTATGAAAGCTCTCGACTAGTTTCTAGATACTCGACCGTGTGGAAATTCTTATTCTTTTTTATTATCTAATTTTGATTGCTCCTGCCAATTTATCGTCGGATTCCAAGGAAGACACGAGCTTTGCTTCGTC